CTCCCCTCCCCCTTCCCCCTCCGCGCGCATGCCGCAGCGAGCGCCACGTCCCCAGCCCCGCCCCCGCGAGCCACGCGGGGAACCCCGCTGACGTAATCACCCGCTTCGCTCGCATTCCCGCGCTCTCCAGAAAAGACGCGAAGGTGGTGACGTGTCCGGAATGCCATTGCGGCTGCGCAAGAGACGTCGCTAACTGAACGTCCTGCGGCGCCGCCTGGTGGAAGAAAAGCGGTTAAGCGACCGGAAGTGGCTGTGCTAGCGAGAGGAGAACGTGACTGACGTCATCTCGCGGCGGCGAGCCGGCGGCGGCCTCGTGACCAACCCCCAGCCTGTTACCCTTGCTCCTCTTTCTTCTGCTCCCAGTATAGTGTAGAAGCCTGAGGGCAGGCACACTTTTTCCGGCTTATGAAAATACTGTGATGTATATTATGAAAATCTGGGGGAAAAGGAAAAGATGGGGAGACAGTTATCAGCATCTCCAATCTTTAACCATCTTTACTCCCAGGTTTTTTTTTTTTTTATTAAACAAGTGTGTATTAAGTGCAAAGATTTCGAAGAAGAGACAAAAGGCAGCCTAACTTTAGGCCTAGAGTAGAATTCAAATACACGCATCGTATCTGACTTTGCTTTGTGTTGAGTAACTTCCTCAAGCTTAGTAAGGGGGTGGCAGAACTGAGATTTCAAACTAGGCGTAAACTTTAAAATGCGGGGATAGGGGAAGACACAAGTGATGGGAGAAAAACACGCAGGAAATTTACAGAATTATGGAATCCACTTTTAGAACCCATGAGCTGGAAGTAGTTTTAAGGAATGAGGTTGGAGACCTCATGCTAGAGCAACTCGGATAGAGTGCTTTGAAACAAGCCGGGTGTGGTGGCACAGGCTTGTAATCCCAGCACAGGAGAGGCTGAGGCAAGAGGATCACCAGTTCCGGGCCAGCAAGGGCTACACAGCAAAACCTTGTCTAAAGAAATGAGACAGAGATCGATTAGGGGGAGGGAGAGCTCTATGAGAGAGGGGAAGAGAAAGAAGAAATCTTGCCCTTGCTACATGCTGGGGCCTTGAGTTGCTTTCCCTGTTACTGTCAGTGAAAGGTGGAGTGGAGGTTATGTATGGATCAGGTCAGGCATTCACGTTGCTAGTGGGCATTTTGTGCATGACTTAAGAACTAATAATATGCAAAACCTTGGGCCTGTTTTGTTTTTGTCTTGTTGAAACAGGGTCTCCCTGTGCAGTTCAGGCTAGCCTTGGGCTCACGTTGTAGCCTAGGCTGGTCTTGAACTCACAACGATCCTCCTGCCTCAGCCTCCTGAATGCTGGGATTATAGGCGTGCGCTCCCATGCGCAGCTCAGGCCCCAGTTTAGAACTTCTGAAACAGAATGTGCATTTCTAGTAGATCCCTAGGTGAGTCCTATGCATGTTAAATTTTTTTTTTCTTTTTTTTTCTTTGAGATAGGGTCTCACCGTGAAGTTCAGGCTGGCCTTGGGCTCACTTTGTAGCCCAGGCTGGTCTTGAACTCACAATGATCCTCCTGCCTCAGCCTCCCAAGTGCTCCCACGCCCAGCTTATACATGTTAAATTTTGATAAGTGTTATGGTAAAACAAGTCATCTTGTGGATGCCGTACTTCCACGCACCTCAGCTGCTCTGTGAATGACACCCCAGAGATGGGAAACGGGCCAGATAGCCCTTGGCAACAGGGTTAAGGCCCAGCCATATCCCAGCACCCCCCTAGTGTGGCTGTCTGGCCTTATTTTAGTGTTCATGAACAGCCATTCATTGTATTTTTGCCTAAGCTGGATAGAGCTTGGTTTCTATTACTTGGAATTGAAAGAAAACCAAAAGCCTAATTCATATAGGTTTTTTTGTTTCTGGATTCCCAAGGACAGTGAACTATAAGACATTTATATCAAAGCAACCTGATATAAGAATGAATATGTATTATGGAGTGATGCTTTTGGAGTAAATTATTATTTTGATGCTGTTTGCAGCAAGATACATAACCTCAGAGAGGCTATTTATTTAACTGTAATGCCTAAACTCAAACTAACGAAGATTCAATGAGAAAAAAGATGAAGTGAGAATAATGGGAGTGCCTGGCACGTGCTAGGCATGTAGAAATGTTAATTTCTTTTGTGACATTCTGTGATCAGTGAGCCCAGAAATGGGAATGAGGTTTTACTAGTCATAAACTTTTTGAAAAATAAAGATGTAAATAAATATAAAGCTGATAAGCAATCACAAACATTAGTTTCAAATATCAATAATTCCTTGACACTCAGACTTCTTTTTCAGGTAAATCTCCCAAAACATTGATAATTTCATCATCAGGCCAGCATGAGATACCATCTGGAAAAACCAGTGGCACTGTGCTTTATTTGAGAACAGAATAAAGAGCATGGCCGGAACCCTGCAAGGATGGTCCGTTACATTCTGTCCTAACCAGGGAATTACTAACTTTCCAACACTGTTAGTGTAAGGCTGACTGACCGCTGCCAACTTCTGAAAGAATTAGAAAAACACTGAAATAAACTCTAAGGTTGAGTCCATGACAAGGAAAGTGAGCTGGTTTTTCTCTTTTTAAAACTAGCCAGAAATACTGTCCAATTCATAATGAAGACTGCAAAGGCTACTTACAAGAATTTTTCCTCAATAAAACCCACTTGAATTCTCTGAGAAATGAAATCTTAGCTAAGAACAATTCACTAAGGAGTAGGTCCATCTAGTATTTAAGTGGCCAGGGTTGAGGATGTGCAAATTTAGCAGCAAAATACTCTTGTCTCAAGGGAAAGTGATAGTGGTCAGAGGGGCCAGCTCCAGCGACTGCTCCAGGGGCGGCCTCTGGTCCTGATAGTCCGCCACATGCCCATTCCGGTGGTGGCCGTACTCGAATTTGATCCGCAGCTCACCAATCTTGGACTGGGGAAGGATATCCGGGATCCATTCAATGATGAAAGGTGTTGGCTCCTTTTGATCTGGGGAAGTGTTGCCTAAACAGGGGGAAGGCGGAAAGGGGACATTCATTAGTACATTCCGTGGCTGTCATGGGCATTCCTAATAGCAGGGAGATTTTTAATTGAAGCAGTACGTTCTTGGCTTTGACAGGGCGAGTAGCTTTTACCCATCCAGTGCTTACTGGAATATCAGATTTCCTAATCATTATGAAATTAGCATATAGCTCACAGTAATGGTGTACACCTGTAATCCTAGCACTGTTGGAAGGTGAGGCAGGAAAATTGCAAGTTCAAGCCCAATCTGGGCAACTCAGCGAGATCCTGTCTCACAAAAAGAAAGGCTGGGGAAATCTAGCTCAGTGTGAAGGTCCTGGGTCATAAAAGAAAAAATAAGATACAATATTTAATAACTTTAGATCTTTCTTACTGATATTGATTAGAGTAACAGTTTGATGGGACATATGAATGAAAAAAATTCAGGAGAAAAACAATTTTTTTTTTCTTTTTGAGACAGGGTCTCACTATGCAGTTCAGGCTGGCCTTGAGCTCACTTTGTAGCCCAGGATGGTCTCAAACTCGCAACGATCCTCCTGCCTCAGCCTCTCCAGTGCTGGGATTACAGGCATGTGCCACCACGCCCGGCTAAAGTAAACAAATTTAAAGATATGTAAACATGAGAAAAGAAGAATGGAGGTGAAAACCTTTAACTATGTGTTTTTGGTTTTGTTTTTTGTTTTTATTCCGGTACCAGGAATCGAACTCATGACCTTGTGCTTGCCAGGCAGGTGCTGTGCTGCTGAGCCAAATCCCCAGTCCTGGTTGTTTTATTTTTGTTTTTGTTTTTTTGTTTTGAAAACCTTTAACTATGTATATAGTATACTTTTTCTCTCAGTGTCACTTCTGACTTTATATATATATATATATATATTTTAAAATTTCACTACCTTATTCCCCCTCCATTTTATTTCCACGTCACCTTCTTTATAAACCCTTACCCTCCGCTTCTTTTGCTTGCTTCCTTCTCCCAATGACCAAGACATCACTTACATGATGAGAAACAAAGCTTCTACCCGCCCCAGACTAACAGCCTGTGGACTGGTGTGTTTCGGTTTGTTTCGTTTCTTCTAGCCACAGAATATAAATATTAGGTAGCACCTGGTTCTTGTCAAAAACATAGCTTCCATTTCAAATTCTATCTTGCTGAGAACCCTCTGTGGAGCAGCTACCAATTTTTCACTTAAATAACAGTGAAAACGCTGAAGGTGGAGGAAGAAGGTGTTGGCTCCTTTTGATCTGGGAAGTGCTGCCTAAACAGGGACCACCTTCCGAGGAGGTCCACTAAGATCACTGGTACCACCTGGTAGTAAAAGCTTTTTAAAATGGGGTAGATGGATGGGAAGAGAGAAACTGACCCAGGCTGCTGCAGTGACATAGCTCAGCTTTCCTTCACAAAGGGAGGCTGCCTGGAAAGAAGTAGGAAGACACCTTGTCCCTCACATCTTGCCCTGGATAGAACGTGTGCAAACTAGACAATAAGCAGGCTGAGTTCCTGCCTTTTAGACAGTGTGGCACACACCTCTCCCCGCACCGGCACCTGAATTCCTGATGACTTGCAGCGCAGGGTTCAAGCGGACTGGCAGCAGCTGAGCACATGCCGGACAGTGCCCTCTGCACAAGGAAAGCAGTATGGGTGGGGAGAAGGGAAAATCCTGAACACCACATGCTGGGAATCTGAGCTTTGCGTCTTTTCATAGATCACATCATGAGCAGAGGAGGAGAGCCCACTGGGATAGAAAAGAAACACACAGCCTGAGAACTGCATCAGCCCTCCAGCTGGAGATCAGACAGGGATGCAGCCATCATCCCGGAGTGGCCCAAGGCAATGTTACCAAAACTCCAATGTGGACACATCTTACTGTGTTCGGGGTAAATAAAGAAAAGAAGGAGTTTTTGTCTTTTTGAGACAGGGTCTCACTGTGCAGTTCAGGCTGGCCTTGAGCTCATTTTGTAGCCCAGGCTGGTCTCAGACTTGCAAAGATCCTCCTGCCTCAGCCTCCCAAGTGCTGGGATTAGAGGCATGTGCCACCATGCCCGGCATTCACTTGATAGTCTTTACTGAATACCTATAACAATCAGACACCAAGCCATCCTGGGGTGAAGAAGAAGAGTGGCACAGTTCCCTTCCCTTAAAGGGCTTACAATCTCAGTGGAAAGGGAAGTGAATCCTAGGTGATTAGGAGTGCAGGCTCTGGAGTCCAAAACTGCCTAGGTAACAGCCTCAGCACTTACTCGGTGTGGCCAGCAGCTGGCTGTGCTTAGCCTCACCTCAGTTTCTTCTTCTGTAAATGAGGATCACAGAATCTACCTCTCACCGGGTTAAGTAATTAATACATGTAAAGCATTTAAAATAATACCTGACACAAAGCAGTGGTTATTATAGTTGTTATTATGAACTTACTATACAAGCCAGGCGTGATGCACACACCTCTAATTCTCTGGTACACTGTGAGGCTGAGGCAGGAAAATCAGAAGTTAGAGCCTAGCCTGAGCAACTTGGCAACCTAACCAAACTCTTGTCTCAAAACAAAAAATAAAAAAGGGCTGAGGATATAGCTCAGTGCAAAGACCCTGGGATAAATCCACAGTGCTGCAAATTAATTACTTAATTTATTTATTTTTTGAGACAGGGTCTCACGATGTAGTTCAGACTGGCCATGAATTCACTATGTAAACTGGCCCAAAACTGCTACAATCCTCCTGCCTCAACCTCTCAAACTGCTGAGATTATAGCTGTGTGCCACCATCCCCAGCAGAATGCAGGACCTTGCACATGCCAGAGAAGTGCCCTACCACTGAGCTGCACCTCCGGTCCAGTCACCCTCATTAACGGAGGGAAATGCCAGTGAAGGGTGAGAAAACATTTTTTGCCTATCATATCAACAAAGATTCAAAAAAAAAAAACAAAAAACAACTCTTTTATACACGGCTAGCAGGGTAAGTTCTATAAATATTACAGTGCTTCTAGGGAGCAGCTTGACAAAATCTCAGGGATTAACCTTTGACCCTCCAATTTCACTCTTAAGAATTTATCCCAAAGAATATCTGAAATAAGTGCAGAAATAACTGATGCAAAAGGCTTATCTAAGAGGAACTTAATACAGCGTTGTTTTAACTAAGAGCAAAAGTTTAAACCAGATTAGAGTATGCTGCTCCAAAATGAATGGATTTTATCCAGCTGTTAAAAAATAAAACATTTTTTTGTAGACTGTGGATACAGCTCAGTGGTAAAGTGTGTGTTTAGCACGTGCAAGGGCCTCAATTCAATCCCTAGCACCACTTAAAACAAAACAAAACACAGTAAATTATTCACAACAGTGTTATTACCCTAATGTTCATCCACAGATGAATGGATAAACAGCAAAGTGGAATGTGCAGACAAGGGACAGTTATTCAGTTTTAACAAGGGAAGAAATTCTGATATGCTATAGCATGGATGGAAGCTGGGCATGGTGGCGCATGCCTGTAATCCCAGCACTCAGGAGGCTGAGGCAGGTGGATCATTGCGAGTTCGAGACCAGCTGGGCTACAAAGTGAGCTCAAGGCCAGCCTGAACTGCAGAGC